AATATGCACGCTTAAGAGGTATTCGAACGATAGCCGAATTCGATACGCCGAGCCATATACGATCATGGGGTCTATCACATCCAGAGCTACTGAGTGCTTGCGATGGTGTTCATAAGGGATCAATCGATCCAACAAATAACAATACATATGAATTTATGCAAAATTTGCTACGCGAAGTTGGTACCGTTTTTCCAGACGAGTACATACATTTGGGCGGCGATGAAGGTATGTACAAATTGTAGATGGAATGGTTTTTCAATGAAATCGAACATGACTTAAACTAAATCGTTTTTTTCAACTGAATGAGTTATTTTAGTTAGATCGTCGCAAATTTCAGATAATTTGTCCAAATTATTTCTTCTGTTCATGTTTCAATTGATAATTCTCAAATTCATTACAGTCGACTTCGAGTGTTGGGATTGGAATGATCAAATTGACGATTATATGGATCGTCACCGAATGACTTCATTCGAAGAGCTCGAAGGACATTACATTCACCGTCTTATGAATACGTTAAACGAGTCGGGGCACAAATCGATGGTATGGCAAGAAGTGTTTGAAAATGGCATTCAACTGCCACCTGAAACAATTGTTCAAGTTTGGACGGGTGATTGGTAAACAAAACAAAGAATTGTTTTTCTTTTTTTCAATTATTTGAACAAAGCGATGTGTCACGAAACAATGACTCTTTTTTGAATAGATTATTATCAAATAATTCGTTATAAAGAACGTTTTTTTTTTAAATTAAAAAAAGGGCACAACTACTTGACAACATAACCGAAAGCGGGCTATTCGGCATCCTATCTAGCTGTTGGTATTTGGATGATTTGGAGACTGGCGGTGATTGGGAAAAGTTTTACGAGTACGAACCGAGCGATTTTCCCGGTAATGATGAACAGCAATCGCGTTTGATTGGTGGCGAAGCTTGTATGTGGACTGAAGTTGTTGATGATACAAATATTGTGTCGCGCATCTTTCCACGAGTTAGTGCGGTGGCCGAAAAACTTTGGTCGCAAAATTGTGCGAGCGATGAGGATGAAGCAAGACATCGACTGGAAGAGCACACTTGCCGAATGAAGAAACGTGGATTGCAAGCTCAACCACCGAATGGACCTGGATTTTGTGTTTAATATCGAATTTCAAAATGTCGGAAATTTAACCCTCAACTGGATAAGCCCGCCTTTTGGCGGGCATCATTTTAACACCTGTATAATGTGAACCGTACGTCGGATGAGATTGCTTCAAGGGGAATTTTTATTTGTCAATGTTTTTTCTTTATTTGTGTCTTTGGCGCTATTTGTCTATGTAGTACGATTGGTGAGTTATAAACAAAAATGTGTACGAAAACGAAAATTTGACAAGATAAATTATTCGGTTTCCAAATTAGACACATTTTTGACACTTTTAAACAATGGATTTCAATGTTCTCTGACCTGTGTCTATCGCATTTCCTGACTGGAAAATCTAGGATTATGAATATTTTTTTCATTATCTATGGCCAAAAATCAACCAAATACCAGTATTCCCAGCCCTGGGAAAAATTCATGCAGTTGAGGGTTAATCATTTTCAAATAATAAAAAGAGATTTAATTGCAATATAACAGTGCTGTCTAAACTTTTTTTACAGCGTGGCCACATAAGTGGAGATCGAGCCAATAGCCACTTTTTTTATAAAAACTTTCTTTGTACCGAAAAGATTTGATAACGCCGCATCATTGTTATACAAAGTTCGACAACCTACAAATCATTCGAAACAAACATGCATGTGAAAAATATAGCTATGAATAACAAAAATTTGAAGACATAATATAATTTTATCAAATGTTTGTGTTGAAAAAAAAAATAACGTAGCAACGGAAATTCAATGAACAAGCCACTGATTTCATTGTCATTGTCACAATGTTGCTCTTTATGCCGTTTTCTTAAACGGAATGTATTCCATGGCACGTGGCCGCAAGTGACCAAGTGGCCAATAGTTTGGGCAGCATTGTAA